TTATATAAAATAAATATATAAATAGATCTATATTCTCATAGCATTTATATAAATACTCTACTTAAACCTAAAAATTATAATTTAATTGATAAAGGAGTAATTAATTTCTTATTTTATTGATTAAAATTCAATTCTTTAAAACAACTATTGAAATAAAAGAATAATTTTTTTATAAATTAATTAATCCTAATTTAAATAATTTGTAAATTAATCTAAAATACTCTAACAGCTAAACTTAACAAAATGGAAAATGATAATTAGTACTAGTATCAGGGTACAGAGAGAAAGTGTAGCAGAGCACACATGACTTTGTGCAGAAAGGCATTAAGGCTCATCACCATCATATATAGTTGTAAACTTGTAATTATGTTATGAAGTGTATGTGTTATGATGTGTATGTGTGCGTGCGGTTCGAGGCAGGCGTATAGAAAGGGAGAAAGGTGTCGGAGTAGAATCTAACCGTGAGACATGCAGTTGGAAACAAACGGCAAGAATGCAAATAATCCCTGACACCAGGATTCCCTTCTTCTCCCTTCCAACACCCTACACGATAAAATTATCATTCTACCTTTTTTCCCTTTTCTACAGATATATGGCACTTCCCTTCCTAAGGCACCTTCCTTCCTTTAGCATTTTCTACATACAAGGAAATCCAAATTCGCTTCTCTTTGCTTTAATTTGCAGCCTTTTTCTTCTTCCACACACATATAGAGCATACGGAAGAAGATCCATTGGTCTCCTCACAATCCCAGCTAGATCTCTCCACATGCCCTTTTCTTTTTTTGAGTCTTTGACTAACATACAATGTTTTTTTTTTGTTCCTTCCCATATAGCCAGATGGGGTTTCAATATTAATTATTAACTACTTCCCCCCCAACCCCTCCATTTCTCTAATTTTCATCCAATTACAAGCCGCTAATTATTAAGTTATATATATATAATGCGTTTTGTTTTGTTTTGTTTATTAATCCCACTCCCACCCCCCCAGTGCCTCGTTTTAAGTTCTAACTTTTCTGATGGTGTTGCATATATCCTTTCAAACTCATAACCAATACCATCATAATTTCCAACCAAATATATATTTTTAATTTGACTTAAATTAAAACCCCTACCTTGTAAAAGAGTTAAGAATAAAAAACATAGCAGAAACCAACACAAGGGCGTGCAGTCGTCGTGCAGATAGCTAGTAATTAACTCCAAATTAATTTTGTAGTTAATGTAAGATTTTTCTACCATAACAAATTAATTAATGGAAATGATTAAATGATTAATCTTGAGACCCTCAAATAAAAAAGAAAGAAAACTAAAGCCAAAAAGAACTACCGCACACCAATTTGGAAACTATGGAAGAGGCTAAGTAAAACTAGCTTGGGCGCACATATAACTGCTAGCCTAGTTCAGATTAACTCATATATGTTAGCTTTACATGTGATTCAGGTGTAGTGTGACTATCACATATTGTGATGTGATGAGAACGTGAAAACTTATGATATCCAATTCTTTTGGGTTTGAAATAATGTTCCAAAGTAATGTATTGCATTTAATTCAAGCATTCAGCAATGTATTGCATTTAATTCAAGCATTCATCTATAGCAAGGTCCCCCCCACCCCCCCACCCCCCGCCTCCCCTCCCCTCCCTACCCAGCCACATAGTTTTTGAACGTCAGAGACCTTGACCTGTGAATACATATAGTATAACACTTTCCGGGGAATATAAGAATGAATTTGCAGTTTTTAGAATGGAACCAAATTTATGTACTATATGCTTACAATAATTAAAATAAATCATTGTACATTCAAATCTTCAGAGATAGATGAAAGATCAATAATATCTTCGGATGGACAATCTCTTGTCTATTTTGTATGTACCCTTGCTTAGATTTGTCATTTATCTTTTCCAATTGATATAATGAAGTATTGAGTTTTTTGTTTTTCAATTTGAATTGCACTACATAGCAAAACAAAAATTATTTGATAAAAGATAACTCTCAATGTGAATGAGTTACTTTTTATTTAATTTATATTATACAATATAAATTATACATAATACTTTTTTTAATGAAATATTAGGATTCATTATGAAAAAAATCATCTTAATCTGGATTTAAGGGAGCGCACAAGAAATTAACAAATTTTTTTTTTCCTTCTCTCTGTATCATAGATTTCGTAAGACTTTCCTGTTCATACTTTTATTCTACTTCCTTCAAAATCAGAACTTTCAACCCAATTTTTCTACCACCCATTCCCACCTAAAACCTTCTTTTCTAATACCAGTGTTTTTTAAGAGCAAAGTTGTAATTAAAGATTTTAGCTTTCTAATTTAAATTTTTGTTTAGCTTCATTTAGAAATTATAAAATAATAACATAATAAAGAAAACAAGGAACCTATTGCTGAATCACCATGTGTGGGTTTGAGCAAAATGAACTTGGTACACTCAGGGAGTCGGGGACTGCTGGGGAAACTTCTGGCTTGGCATTATTGAGGAACAAAAGAATGCCCCCTTTTTTTTTAAAAAAAAGAAAAAATTCATTTAGTTTAAACTTTGTTCTTCCTTTTACTTAAATTAAATTTCTCAAAAAATCAGAAGTACTTTTCCTTATGTCTTTATTCTCTCTCTCTCTCCCTCTCTTTTCTTTGAACAGCACGTCTTTATTCTCTTGGGAGATATAAAGTATAAACTCCTGATGCATGAACCCTATGGTTGTGGACCCTCTCCAGTCTCCTCACAACCCTTCATTTTCAACACATTTAATGGATTAAAAAAAAAAAAAAAGCCTTTTTCCAACATTGATCCATAGATATAGATAGCCTCAGTACTACTAGGTACCATAAAGTTAAAAACAAAATAAAAATAAGGGTGCTGATAAGATTTTTGATTGAAATATAACATGGGTAATTAATGAGTGTATGTAGTTAGATGAGGTGATTAATATATACTTATATACATAGGGGATAGGCCGACAAAATCCTAAAGTTTTTTATGCATGTCAACCCTAAAATGCCTCAGGCCGGTGGCCTTGTTTTGACAGTGAAAGATCTCGCATGTCATGAATTAGAGATATTGACGATACGATACAGCATAAGGTTACAGGTTTCACTGGAGACATTTTGGTTTGCTAGCTAAGCTAAGTTACCGTTTCAAATTTTACTGCATACAATCAAATCCAACCAGAAGACACAACAAAATATCAGAAACTTGCATCAAAAAGTGAGAGAGACAACAAAGGTTGCATTTATATCATGTGATGCCTTTATTACCCATTATCTGGGTTTTCAAACTTAAGGACATTTTTTAATTTTTAGTGTGTCGGATGATATGAATCATGCAATAGCTAATAATCATTTCCTTTCCAAACCCCTCATATCCATTTCAGAATTTCAATTTAGAATATATAGTGTGCATGCTCAAACTTTCAATTAATAAGATATTTCATAAAGAACACTAGATTTAAAGAAATGTTAAGAACTTGAAAAGTCTCATAATCAAAGTTTCCGTCGCTGCGAGATATAGGAGAATGATTTTTTTTTTTTTTTCTGGATGGAGCGATATATGAGAATGTTAGAGAAAGAAATAGTGGGATTATTAATGTGGGTTTTTGTTAATGTATGTATGAAGGGAATATGGTTGGTGGAAAATGCAAAGCAAAGGTGAATTAGGTAGGGGAATTCTAAAATGAAAACAGAAAAAAGCCAAGATAAAGAATCTGAGTTGGATGAATTAGCAATATAAAACGATGGTATAAAAGGCAAAAAGGAGAGGTGATGGGAGAAAAAGAGAGAGATAATTAATTATGGTTTTAGTATTTAAATAAAGTGAGGTGATAGTAGCTAGAGAGATGATGAGAGGAATCCAAGTATTTCCAAGCACTCGCAGACAAAATGAGCTTCAGAATAGAAAAGCAACCTTTGCTTTACGACCCAGCAGAAAAGTAGATTTCAAACACTCAATAAGGTTAGCTTAGGAAATTGCGTGGTTAGTAACCCAACCCACCATCTATTTCTTTCTCTATATTTAGTGGTGAGATGAGATGAAGAGTTTGCATCTCCAACCCCACCCCCACACATCTTCCTCCTTTCCCTCTCATACACAATTAAAACATTTACCCATCCCTCTCTTCCCATTACCTGTGCTTGTTTTTTGCCAATTCATATGGGTTTAGTTTTTTGCTTTCAATTTTGATTATGACCCAGTCTCCCCTTCTTCTCCCACCTTATATACTTCTTTCTTCTTTCTCCCCCCTTTGCCGTTCTCTTCCTTCCTTCTTTCTCTCTTCTCAGCTTCAGAGTTCATATGTCTCTTCTGGGTAATATGAATTTTGTTGCAAACATACATGTGCATGCTTAATTGTGATGAGGCATACATATGCAAATACATTCACAAGTTATATATAGCATCAATCATGGTATATTCATATATGTATGTGCCTGGCTCCCTGTATGCCATTTGCAGAGCCGCCCACCGAGTATCGATGGCCTCCGTGAATGGCGTATGAGGAGCCATGCATATTCCATGTACCATGATATCTTCCATGCTATTCTAATTTTGCAGAGCCTGCAGAAAGACACTTCCAAGGGTTTTCATGTCTTCTCCCTTTTCATCATTGAGGTAAACTCCATATCTTAATTAATTCTCTTATTCTTCCCTTCCAGTTTATAATATTCATTATTAATAATAAAAATAAACAATTTTATCCCTTTGTGTTGTGGGTTTTTTTAGGGTTTTGCTTCCTTTGGTGTGTAGATCAATATATATATATATGGTGTCTATATCTAAGTCTTAATTCGGCTATCATATATCCCATGAAGTACTAATTTTTCTTATTTCATGATGAGTACTAGCTCTAATAAATAACATGTCATATGTCTCTACTAACGAGGAATCTTGGAAATCTGTATTCTGCAAAACCCCAAATTACAGTGAAATTTTCTTAACTGCACTGCACCTGACATCGTGGAAGTCACCAACACGCCTGCTGTCCATCCATTCACCTTCTTACAGAACCCTTCTCATCATGTCTGATGGACCTTTCACCTGACCTTTGGTAAAAAAGCCACATGTTCCAATCCATCATACAAAAGTCCCATCCCATTCTGGCTGGCAAGCCTCAGTCTAGTTATTTGCATTCTTGTTTTTGTTTACCATGTGTTCGATCAAATGTCACTGCTAATTTGCATCCACTGTCCTTGCGTCGAAGGAAAATGGCATAGCTTTAAACACAACGCTAGTTAAATAAAGAAAAGTTTTTAGTTTCTTCAGAAAAACTTGATGTTCAGCTTAATAACTTTTCAACATTTGATTGTACATGGAGCATCCATCATCAGGGATAGTTTTCCTTTTTCTTAAATTTCTCCCGTACGACGCCCATTCCAAAAGTTCAAACCCAATCTGCCACTCTGGAAGTTGATCTCATCTCATGTTCTAACTGTTGAAACACCGACCACCAGAGCAACACCTATCTCCTATGCACAATAAACATACATGATCATATCCTTTGCAGCTGACCGGGTTAATTTGTTGAATATTTAGTAGTGATTAAATGCTTACATATTTAACTGGCATTATGTATAGACAAATTTCTCAGCATTTGTGTCACTGGGATGGTTTAAATCCCAGATAATAAATTTCACATTAGAAACCTCTGCATTTCACTGTGAGGCGGATTTGATAATGCAAATTATTATTTGTGAGTTGTTATGCAAACACACTATAATCTACATTCACTACTCTAAACTAATGCATCATTTTCTTTTCCTCTTTTTTTTTTTGAACCCCGATATCATTTTTTTATTGACCATTTATCGTTGATATTGATTTAGAATATCACATCATGTCTCGATGATACAGTAGAATTTCACCAACACAAGCAACCATTATAGTAGACACCTGTATGAGGGGATTGAAAGGGAAGAAAGGTAGAAAAGAAAGGATTCTAGTCCTGGGGAAAGTAAAGTAGAAAGAGGTTAGCAGAGGATTGTTATGATTAGGTGGCTAGCTAGTATGGGGAATCTCATTCTCATTATAAATGGACTGCCCACCCTCTCAATGTCCCTCTGTTTTTCTGATTGGATGGTAAGGAATAATGTCGATCCACACCCACAGTCAAAGTATATATAGCTAGGTCAAAAAGGACTTTAGAACTGGTCATCGTGGACCAAGTTTAAAGATTTCCTGAAATCAATTAGATTTTGTTGGGGGTAGGTTATTATATATGATCATCATTTCAATTCTTATATATCTTTCTTTTTCTTTGTTTTTTAAATGAATATTTATTTCTTCATTTTCACATTGGAGTAATCTCCAAATTAAAGAATATCATCCCTGCCGGTATAAGTATTTGATGAGGATGAATAAATAAAAGGTACATTCTAGGCAGGCTATTACTGATACAAGTTGTACCGCCCAAACCCAGAAAGCAGATTATATTCCATTCTATCCTAACAAAGTTATTTCTTCTTTTTTGCCCTCATGCTTTCTACTAAAAAATGAGAAAGAGAGAGAGAGAGAGGGTTTGTTAATCTAATAAATATATCTTTAACCAACAAGGAGTTGGATCAAGTGATAAGTGTTTTGTTTCACTTTAAGCAAAATCTTCAGTTTGAGATTTTGTGTACGCAGTAGTTTTCGTTGGGAGACTCACCCACCATTTTCAAGTGCGCAACACAGGTCGGTTCGAATTAATCGGGGTAAAGTCCCAGATACTAGATGGAAACAAAAAAAAAAAAAAATAGATATATCTTTAAAAATCAAAAGGACATCTCATTATGTGTGTTTTATTGTGCCTGCCC